CCTCTTGAATCTTTCAGGAGTATTTTGGTTATTTTTATATAAATTATATTTTTTTATATTTTTTTGTTAGTGCGAGTTTAATAGATGAATGGACGTCCAAAATTTGGTGTCAAAATAGTTTATAAAAAAATTAAAAATAAAACAGTGTAGAGATGTGACATTGTAACTGGAGCAATCTTAGCCCTCCATTAAAAAATGAACGGTTGGATAAGGGGAGGATAGAACTTCTATGTTGAAGAGGAACATTAAAAAACTTATCCTTTACTTATTTTTATTTTTTTGTTCGAAAAAGTAAAACGTAGTGTGAGTCAACGAGCGCATTTGCATGAAAAACAAATCCCTGTTGACTTAACTGATCGGTCAATGTCCATCCTAAAGATGGATGTTGTGCAACACGTACAATATATGGACGGTGTAAAAAAACAATACCAAAATATTAAATATAGGGAATTGATTAGATATCAGGCTTTTACTTCGTTGTCGGAAAAGAAAAAGTGTACCGTGAGTGAGCAAGAGCATTTGCATGAACAACGAAGCCCAGATCTTCAGCAAGTGGGCGCAAAAGCATGCTGACTTGCCTATCGTTAAATGTCCATGCTAGAGATGAACGTTGTACAACATGAGTAGCATATGGATAGTATAAGAAAAACAATGACAAAAAGGTATTTTTAATTTAAAAAAATTATTTTTATTTTCATATTATGATCACCTAGGCCTAAAGAACGAATCTATATAAAAAAAAATTAGATACAAAAATTATATTTTTAAAATAAATAGGGACTCTATGTGTACATATGAGTCGGCTTACGCATAGAAATCTCATCCTTTCATACATCGTACTCCCTATAAAAAGTACATGCGCTTAAAAAACGGATGTGATGCTTTGGGGAAGTACATATACTTATGCGTTCCCCGACGTATCAAACACTTGTAGAACGCGGGTTTCGATCCGTGCCCATGAACTCCTGTATCTTCTGCTAAATTATGCAATTCAACGCGCTAACCTCCTGCAGAAAACCTCTCCCTCTTCTCTGGCTTCTGCAAATCGAAAGCCTTCTCTCTCTTGCTTCCAGTCTCTCTCTTCTGTGGCTTCTTCTGGACTAAATCTCTTTTTCTGTTGCTTTCTCGAGGTACGATCCACGCTTTGCAATGGCGTCTTCATCCGTAACCCTCAGCCGATTTATACCTTGCGCTGATTCCAGCCCAAAGCTCTCAACTTTGAGCACCAGACCAGAAAACGCAATCAGTCTCCCTTCTCGTATCAGGCCCAAGGTGAGGAAAACCTCTGTAATGGTAATGACCTCCATTCATGGTGATAATCCTTTGGAAGACTCTTCCAAAACCAGAGCTCTAGACTTGCAGAGATTGTTCGCTGATGAACCTGCTCCAAAAGAATCTGTTTCGTTGCCGAGTAATTACATTCGATGCTATTTTACTTGACTTCAATGAATTCTAGGAAGGATTTCTTATATGATTGTTTCTTTTTCAATAAAAATGGTCCACCGTTCACTCTTTTTTGGGTTGTAGGGCCTCTTTCGGTGACTGATTTGTCAGGGTCAGTCAATCGAGGGTCTCGACTACGAGTAGCTTACCAGGTTGGGATTGTGAATTTGGTTTCTTTGTTGCGTGTTCTATGTTTTGAGGGTATGTGTTTTAAGCATTTGATTAGTTATGGCTATGTTTGTGTGAATTTTAGGGTGTTCCTGGTGCCTACAGCGAAGCTGCGGCTGCAAAAGCCTACCCCAATTGTGAAGCCGTTCCTTGTGAACAGTTTGAAACTGCTTTTGGTGTGAGTATTTTTTGTTAATTTCATATATCTGTGGTGGTTCCTTTATAATTTTTTATTAGCATTTGGATTTATTTGTAAAACTATACAAAACCCATATTTCTCTAAGTTGTTACAATTCAAACTCTCCAACTTTTGAAGGCATGGTAAAGGTAGATGCTTGGTCTTAAAATCCTGAATTTTGAAACCAACATTTGTAGCATCATAGTGAAGAATGTGCTCCCAAAATCTCTAGTTGATCCTTTTTCCACCTATGTTGAAACCTAAACTTTCAGCACGTAATAGATATTCTGTGAATATTTAAATGTGTATTTCATGGATTTGTAAATGTTTCTTATTGATATTTTGAAATTGAGTGCTATGAAGAAATTCTAGAGGCCCTACCAACATGTCATGCAAACTCAGGTAATAATCACAAAATTTAGTTGTTTAGAAATTGACCTGCCATTATGGCATTACCAGAAACCACATCAATCTTTGTCTCTATCTCTCTCTCTCTTACACACACAAATGCACGCATGCACACACACTCATACACACATGGACGCACTCCCACACACGCAGCTTGCTGCAATGGTCTTGTTGAGCAACTTGACTCTTGGACCCTTCTTCTGGGAGGTATGGTTGCACCTAGTCCTCTACAATCACTAGCTATGGTGCTAGATACTGATAGGCGGTTGCTTTAGTGATTATCTTCCTTACTTTGTATGCTTTGTGATTGATATTATAAGCTTTTTGTTCATGATTGGTGGTGCTGTAGTCTAGAGTATTTGAAGCTTTGGATGGTCCATGGTAAAATCTGAATCGGTATAAAGTGAAATGATGGAGGGTAGTCATGAGAGTCATCAATGATTGTTTACAAGATTGTTTCCAAAATAAGGATGCAGGGGTGGTGGGGGTTGGGGGAGGGCATAATAATGATGAGACTTGAGGGGTTTAGAGGAAAAGTTTTCCTTCTTTTTTCTTATTCTTGGAAACAGGTGATAAAGGATTGTCTTAGGTTGAGAAGGAAATTGTTTAGTTGATGGTCATAGGCAGTGGAGCATATGGTTTCGATTGGTGTTGGCAAAGTCTTTCTGGTGGAGAACTGTTATTGGGATAGAGAATGCTCAGTCTAGTGATAGGTTAAGAGGAAACAAATGGACATTTAAGACATTACGTAGGGCAAGTGACAGGGTTAAATGCGTATGGCCAACAGTATGAAACAGGATGTTTGGGCCAATGGTTGAGGAAATCTCCTGAGGTTTGGAAAGTTGGAAAGATATGTGGAAAGATATGGGTTTTAGTGTTCTACCTATCATGGGCAAGGAGAGAAAAGGCAATGTTTGGGTGTGCCGAGAAGATGGAGGAGGATTTCTGATTCCAGCTATATAAGAGGTCTGATATGCTGAGAAGAGCTGTCCAATAGGGTATATTGGGTGGTAATAACGAATGTTGTAAATAATGTTCTGCAACTTGGGCAAGTAATTCGGGCTCTGCAGGTTATCCTTGTTCAGGTGCCTCCCAAACACGTGGATAGGTAATCAATATAAATTTTATACAAATGTAACGAGATTTAATTTATAATTGATTTGATCTTTGATTAATCAATTATAAATGAGTTATATTTAGTTTTCTGTATACTATTTAAGGTTTTATATTTTTCAAAGTTTTTTCTTATTTTCTATATATTTCTCATTTTTCTGACAAAATGATGTTGAATTCTTTTTTTTTTTTATATTTCTACTTTTTGAAAATTTTCTCATGTTGTATACACGTTTTCTATTGTTCATCATTTTTTTTCTTCTTATTTTATCATTTTTTAAAGGGTTTTTCCTCTTTTTTTTTTTTAACTGGTTTGGCCATTTGCCATTTTTGAGCTCAGCATCGATTTGGGGCAGTCGACTTGCCGAAGTAACACAGCCAAGGCGGTTGCCGAATTCCATGGCCAAGCTGAGTAAAAACCATTGGTTGTAAAGACTGGACCAGATCGACTAGTTCAATCATGATCTAGGCCTGAAACTAGTCCAGTTTGACATTGATCTGGAAAACCTATTAGAACTGGTCGAACTTGTTGATCCGGCCAGTCGAACCTATCATCCATAACCAACTGGACCAGGTTATTTGTATGGTAGTATGTCTGTATCCATGTATGTATGTAGACCCATTCATCCAGTAAGCTGGCTATTGGTTTTGACCAAACGAGCGTCCTTACCAGTTCATTAACCGGTACTGCCTTGATAACGTTGGTAAGAACTCTTAATGGTGGTTGGAACTTCTGGTGGTATTGCTAGTGTCCCATGTAGATTCTGACACTTATCTTTTATGTGTCCTAGATGATCGCAATGAGAAAATTTTTTCCATTTACACTAGAATCAAGCACGACGATGGCCAGGGTTTTCTCTCAACGTCCATGTCCAATGTTGTGTTCATAATTCTGGAACTATGCCCTTCGTGGACAAGTATCTGATTGTAGACTATCTGATATCATTTTCCAGCCTTCAGCTAGAAAGTTAAATATGTGATGCTTAGAGGCCTCATTTCCAACTCCTACAAGATATCATTTATGTTGCAATTTGCGGTGCATGGTTCCACTGTGTGGTTGGTCCTCTTACATTTGGTGACATATCTATGCTTAGGATGATAGGCTCTGACCACGTTTTCTTTATAGTAAACTTGTACTGAACTGCTTCCCAAATTTCTTCAGCTGTGGTGAATAAATTACAGAGCATATTGGATTTGTTACTCCAATTTATTGCAAAGCCAACCCATTTTAATGAAATTTTGCTAATGTGATCAAAAAATGTAGATCAACTAGATGAGTCTGCTGAATTTTATCAGTATCAGTTTGACATAACTTATCTTGTTTCTTCCCTTGATGAAAGCTATGACAAAATGGAAAAACTTGAGGTAACAACTCCAATTTGCTTTAAGTAAAGTAATTTTAAGACTTGGTTCTCAAGATAGTTTAATATTATTAACTAGTTGGGATTCCCACTAGCAAAAGTTGACTGAGAGACTTTTCCATGGTAAAGTAAAAAAAGATGAGTAAGAGACGAAGACCAATTTTCATGATGGAGTAGAGGAGAGGGTTAAGAAATATATTAAATATAGCTAAAATACTTGGACTAAGGGTCTTCCAAGGAAAGAAAACTTTGTTTCTAACTAAGAAAAGAGGTAAGTTTTGTTTCATTTAAGGAGAGAAGGGGGAGGGCAAATTGTTGGAGGTACCAGTGGAGATGCTTCATGGAGTGAACTGACTTGTGAATGGTCTTGAGTGGGGAAGCATGGGGAACAGTCTTAAGTGCAGCTGATAGTGAAAGTGGCCAATCTTCCAATCTGTAAAAAGGTGCCTTTATACTTTGGAGCCTGTGGGTCTAGGCGGAGGGGCTGATGTGTGTTTTCTAATGTGTAAGGATATTTGCATGTGCCACCCATAAATCTCGAAAAAGGTGATCCTGCCCTTTGATGTTATGGCGCTGTTGATACCCTTGATGAGTAGAAGCATGATGTGATACTTTTTTTTTTCTCAATGACATGAGAAGATGGATCAGCCAATCAATCAATCAAGCATGTTGTAACCTTTGTTAAGTGAAATGGAAGAAACAAAGCTTCATAAACTGAGAACATGTCTAATTAGGTTCCACATATTGCATAAGATCAAATTAACTTCTTGCCATATGTAAAATTACGTAAAGTCCTAAGAGTACAAATGATCCAATGAACAAATTGAAAGAAGACCCAAAAGGTCCTTAGTTCCTTATACACCATCCTATGTATGCACAAGAATATATGTTCAATTGTATCATTACTACTCCAGGACTTTTTTGTGATTGTATATATGTCCAAGGTTAGTTTGGACTTTTGTACAATTATATTATGTAATGAGAGGTTTGCCGAACCATAGATCCTCTTCCCATCTTTTCAAGGCTTATTCATTTTCCTGTGCACATGTTTAATTGCAATAAAGTATTAGAACATGTTTTGCCAATTTATTGATCTTCCTGGGTACACTGCCTCATGGTTTTAATTACCAGTGATATCATTGATCTTCCTGTGTACACTGCCTGCCTCATGGTTTTAATTGCCAGTGATATCATCATTTTGCTATGTTATGGCTTATCCATTGAATGAAGGCTCTTATCATGATTTTTCTTGAACTTTTTGGTTTGCTCGTGTCATTCTCTCTAAATGTACGAGACACTCAAGCAGCATGTTCACCCAAGGCAGTGGTCAGCCTCAAATTACCATTTCATTCATGTCTTTCTCTGGACGACATTAATGAAGGACATGAATAAAATTGATGTTTGGAGAAAAAGAGGAAGCAAGTCATGTATCAAGAACTTTGGGTTTGTGACACCCAGTGATATCATAGGCAACAGGAACACATATTGATGTGTGCATGGTCGTTTTTATGATGGCCTTCATTGAGACAGATCTATGAGGACTAAGTGTTGGGTGTTGCATGTGGGAGCAACAAATTCTAGGCTAAGGATGGTCATCAAATATAGAAGTAAATCTCCTCTCATCTGCAAACCTGAATATTTTATGTAGTACTATATCAAAGGCTAATTATGACTCCTTGCTTCAGATTGATGTCAAAACAACTTTTTTAAAATTTTAATTTGAAAGCAGAGATTTGTATGTGTATTTGACAACCTAAATAATGCATGTCTACGATGTAAAAGTACACCTAATCATCAAGAAACTTTGAGCTAATGCAAATATCAAGATTATGGATAGTTAATTCCATCTTCCCGCCCCCCAATTGTTAGACTTCCTAGTGCTGAATAGAACCTTTTTTTGAATGTGTTAACTTTTCTATTGAGTAAGGAGTGAAGTACAAATTTGCAAAATATAGGCTTCCCACAGACGGGAAGCTCTATAAAAAAATAAGGTTACCTATAATTGGGAGCTCTATTCAAAAACTACCTCCCATAGGTAGCCCTATACAAAAATCACTGAGAAGATGAGTAGAAGAAAAAGGAGAGGGGGTCAAAAAAAAGTAATCCTTCCCTCCAAAA